ACTCGTCAACGTCGAAACCAGCCGATCGATTATATAAATAAAGCACGGCTGTAAACTTTTGATTCGTCATCGGAACAATCAAGAGTTCGACTACCAGTAAGTCAACTAATCCACAGAAATTACCCAATGACATGGTCCATAGCTCTTAGATAATGGGAAATCCTATGACGAAACACCCTGCATGAGTATCTCCGTATCGATCAACGAACCACCTAACAAAGTTACTGTCCACTTTCCACGAAGTGCCATGAGACACTATAGGTACACGTTCTACGAAGTTTCATGAGCTTCTTGTCACCACCATCGTGGCTTACCACTTATAAACGGTCTTTTTTAAGATCAGTCAACGCTGTAAGACATCTGGAAAACGTGCTAATAACACGTACGCCAACTGTTCTTTTCAGGACCACCACTTGCCGTTCAACAACACGATAATCACCACTTAACTGAGTGGTCACTTTCGTGGGATGCTCTTCCACACTGTAGCTATGTAAGACACATTCGGTACGACAGTACAAGTTAGCGCACCCAACACTGGTATTGCATCCGCGCCAGATCGCTTAAATATATTTTGCCTGTCGGGTGGTGACTTAGTTCGTCCCATACATATGTTATATGTATATATTTATATATTAAAACACAATAAACAACTATAATATTACCAAATAAAACTAAGGTTATTCTTATTTTATACGAAGCATCTTATATTCTCATATAATATATTTAAACAGTTTCATAGTGCCAATATTTTTTTTTGTAATACCTACAGGATGTTTTTTTTTAGAATGAACTTCATAATGTTATTAACAAAGTACACCAGTCAATTTTGTGGTTTAATTAAAAACTAGCAATGAAAAAAGTGACTTATTAATTTTTAAAAAAATTTGGTAAGTATATCTAAACAAATTTTACTCATATCTAAACTAGACACTTAGACACTTGAAAACCCCATATTAGAGTTTTGGTAATTTAAACTAATACAATTTGAATAAAACAAAAAGTTTAAAGATTATTCGAACAAAACAATTTTATCAATCTTTCTCTGTACGTAGGTATAGGTATTTTTTTTACAAGTATTTTGCCCAAATCTAAGACTGAATAAATTATTATTTATAAGATATCAACTGTTATAATGTATGTTAAATATCATTAGAAATACATTAAGAATATGTATTTACCAAAAGTGTAACTAGTTGCTATTTTTAATTAATATGTTCAAATGTATTTATAATGTGGACTCACATACTAAAAAAAAATATGACAAAGTCAATTCAGTGTGATTATATACAATCACCAAAATCTCAAACCTATTTCCTTGTTAAACGTATTTTTGATTGTTAAACCACTTTAATGTAGTGTAATTTAAATAAAAGAAATATTGTCATATTAAATTCTACAGATACATTACAATAAAACAGATAATAATTTTATGAACCAAAATTGAATTCGTGTCCATCATTTTTTATTACAATTTTGTTTATATACCTATCAAAAAATGTTTCCATGGAAACTGAAAATTTCACTTTTTCTAGTATGTAAAAGATAATTTTTATTCAATTTTCAGCATATATGTTTTAGATTTTGATTATAATGGGACATTACAAACATATACATGTATAAATATCTTATTGTTTTTAAAATATAGTTGAAGAGTTTTACATAATTATATTATTGCATATGCAGAACTGAAAAACTACAGATCAAATAACAAAAAATAAAATATATTAAAGAAGTATAGATCATGTAGGTACTGTTTAGTAGATGTATAAATATTAATCTATAGTATAAGTTCAATGAAATCAGTTAGTTTGTATGCAAAAGAAAGTGATATAGAAGTATATCAAAGGTATACTAGTAAGGTTATAAGTATCAGTAGGTACTATTAAATTATTATATTTCAATTAAGAATGAAATCATTTTTATCATCTTAAAAAATAATTCTTGAAAACAGTGGCGTACGCCAGATTTTTCAATGGGGGGGGGGGGGGGGCTTGAAAATTATTTACAATTTTATTTTTATTCTGTCCAGTCTAATAATTTCAGACGTTTATTTGAGGTATTTTAAAATGTTTGTAACTTTTCAACTTTTCTGGTAGAAAAGCTCTGATCATAAGCTATCGAAGCCCTATGTATGTTTTTTTAAGCGAATTGGATCTAGTTGGTACTTTTAGGAGGTTGAAATTGAAAATGCTCAGTGCTTTTTAAAATAATTTGAGAAAAAAAAATGAAAATGTATTAAAATAGTTTGGTAACCAGCTTGGTTATACCGTCCTCACTTGGATTGTATTTGATTAATTAAATTTTTTTTTCTATAAATGTCAATAAAAAAATTATATATCCGGTCAAAAAGCTTAAAAATTGAATATGTAAGTTTTTATTATAGCTAAAATATTAACGATACATAGGCATCATGGATATTTTTTATAAGTATTTAAAGTTCAAATTTCGTCAAAACTCCAGTTAATTTGTAGTTCAAAACTTATAAAATATAAAATGTGTATATTGTATAGCTAAGGCTAGACAATTTTATACAAGGTCTTTCATACAAGTAGTGCATAGGTACTCTTTCCGAAAAATTACAGATAATGTATGAAAATTGGTATGCAAATACAATGTTTTTTCAAAAATGAATTCATTCTGGTAAGACATGTATGAAATTGATGTCTTGCTTACTATAGTTGACGGTTGAAACTTGATAAATATATTTTTTTTAAAGTAATAATAATACGGGCAATGGGGGGGGGATTCAGCTCGTTAGCCCTCCCCTGCCAACGGCACTGCTTGAAAAAATAAGTATTATTAGTTTATTGAGATTTAGTATAATTTAAATATTTAATATATCTGAAACCAAAAAATATACCTTTATTAAAACTTGTTTTGAATAACCTGTACAATATAAATTATAAGTAATTAAAAACCAAAATCAATCCTGGCAATATTTTTCTGAATTATTATTTTATTTATCTATATTATATTATTAATTTTTTTTTTTGAAGTTATACTTCTTTACGCACGGTAGTGAGGAAAAAAAAAAGCGAACGGGCGGCGTGTACGAACGGGCGGCGAGTACGAACGGGCGGCCGTACGAACGCGAAAGCGTACATGTCCGTAAATAAATAAATATTGTCATGGTAATGTTGTTTTATTATATATTATAATATATATATATATATATATCTGTATATATAAAACAGTAAGCTTGATTGACTGCTATCAACGCACAGCTCAAACCATTGGACGGATCTGGCTGAAATTTGGCATACCGATAGCTATTATGATGTAGACGTGCGCTAAGAAAGAATTTTTCGAAATTCGCATTTTAAATAGGTGCTCAAACAGGGACATTGAGATTCAAGATGGAAATTGGAAATTTTATTTCAATTTATTAATAGTTGCCATTGGTTACAGTCTACATTAGAAATTAGCATTTATTTATTGGTTGCCATTGGTTATTCGAGCAGATCAGGTACAAGCTTGCATCAAATCAAATTATTGAACATTGCTTACCAGGGTGGCTGAGCTGCACTTACCCCAGCAAGTTACACCCAAAAGGAGTTCAACAATCATAATTTTTTTAAGAGTTGTAATTTTTTTCGAGCAACCAAATTTTTTTTTAATATTTTTTATTTTTATTATTATTATTAGTATTCACTCACAAATCTATTGTCTGGATAAAAACAATACAACAAACAATTATCCATCGATCTGTCGAATAAAAATATAAAAAAAATAATAAATAATTCCGGATACTTCTTCTCATTTTTTAAATTAATTAATATTTTTTCTTTCTTTTTCACTCACTCACGTGTACCATTCAAAAGAAGTTTAACTTCCCGCGCGCGTACTGGTAACACACATGGTTTTTTTTTTAAATACTGAACTCTAGATCTTTTTACAACGATTTTTTAAGACAGTGAATAGGATTGGCCAGTCATGTAGAAGAAAAAATATTTTCAACAAGGGTAACCTATTGGGATTATTATGGAGAAGATTATTAAAGTTATTATGGTGGGTTTAAAGTGTTTTATTTTCTAAATGGAGGTGACGAGGTGAAGGTATTTGTGTAGGAAAAGTAATTACATTTTTGTTTTAATAGAGTTATAATATTTTTAATTTATTTCGAGATTAACTTTAACTCATTTTAGTTTAGTAAATCGATAAATTTAACTCCTAAAAAAGAGAACACTGTTTTCATAATAGTGTTATTATCACTAAATTATATTTTTTAAATATTTAAATTAACGGAAAAAATGCATTCCTTTTACTGATGTAAAGAAGTTTTTCCCACGGTGAGTGAATATTAAATAAATAAATCTAAATTAAATTCATATTTCAATTACAGAAATAATTGAAATTTAATAACATAGATGAATGTAATATAATTTATTCGAAATTATAAAAAAATTTCTTATGTGCTAGATGTAATTATGTAAGTACTATTTATAGTTGTTATGAAATAGTATATTTTACTCTTAATCCTTATGAATATTATACATAATTATTTTGTGTACCTACTTTGTTTCTACTTTAAAATAAAATGTAATTACAACATAAAAGACATAAAAGATCTGAATTTCGTTTAAAATGTTTACATTTTGTTTTAAGTAATGAGACGTTATCATTACAGATATAAAAACAAAAATTTTATAAATTAATGCAATTTAATTACCTATTTGGTTTTTGTAACTTTTATTTTTTTACACTATCCAGGCTAATGTAATATTTAAGATTTCAAGAATTTTAATAATTAAATGCGTTGCCCTAATGACTAAAAAATCGTTTCGTTAAAATTTAAAAATGTACATACCTATGTTTAACACGGTCTCGTTTTTACACTTGGTTTTATTTAGTGCTTACAGGCAGCAGCTAACCTTAACCTATATTAGGTTTATCGTTATACCAATTAGTGAAATACTATAATAATGCAATGCTGGGCTTATAACAAACCATTACAAACACTCGGGACTGATTGTTTTATTAATGTACTTAGAGTTACTTACCTGAAAAGTAAAAGATTCAACACGACCAGAGATATGCAAGGACCAGTGTGCACGAAGATCACACGGAACGCATAGTACAGCGTGAAGTATACGTCAAGTGTGACCCAATGTTCAACCCAGTATGCGTGCTTCATCTTGAATTGGATAAAAACAAAACAAAACATACATAATATATTATTATTTAACTTAGCTAATATTTTGTAAAAAAATACATCCAATGACGAGTGCACATGGTATTTGAATTACACAAATATTCATATTGTATTTGTTTTTGAATCGTCAGTTGCAGTAGTTAAGGTAGCAGTCTACTACTATTACACTGTCTCCGTATTACGTGCAATCCGTGTGGTTTACCCGTTACCACAATAAACCTACCAAATAGTTGAAAATATTCAACTACTCCACCGTGGTTATTTAAATGTGGTTACTAACGACTAGTGAAATCGTTTTACCCGAACAACATTATTTAATTTAGCGAATAACAAGAAAATTCTGAACACGGACCACACGATTACACGAAATACGGTGACGGTATATAATAGTAGGTCTGTACTTTAAAATATGTGAAATATCGCAATACCCAGAAATATTAAAAATAATCAAAATATTTGGATACCGTTGGGTGGTGATACAATAATAGAATCTATCCAATAATTAAGATCATGGCGTAGAGTAAATACTCTAAATCCTCTAAATTTAACTAATATGAATTGATATAAATTTTGAAATGACGGTTTTGATGAAATAAAAAAGTCAAACTCATGAAAAAAAGCACCGACTTAATTATTTATATTGGTATGTACTCAAATCACATTAAAATTATTAGTTTTAGTTAAGGGTTACTATCAACAGTATGTATTTTTAATTAAAAATATATATTATTTGACATTTTGACATTCAAGTGAATAACAATATTAATTATTATAATAGATAGAATTAACGATTTATATGATATAAACATTAAATCATGTAAAACAACACTTTGAACAAATTGGATAAAAAAAAATAAACATTTAGGTAATTGTTTTTCACAAGAATAAACTTAGGTAAAGAAAAACAAAATCAATAACGGGTTTTGAATTCTATAAATATAGACTTTAGCTACCTACTATAATACAATTTCCACACTTCAAAGATTGAACGTCTTATTGATAAAATTGAATCAGTCGCCTGGTCTTTAAGCTCAGTATTGCGTTCACGGTAAATAGCGGAAACGATCGAATGTGTGTGGTTTTTTTTTTTTTGAACTCTTTGACAACACGTTTTTATTTGATGGCTAAAGCGTTTTTAACACCGTTTTGAAAAGTGCTTTTTTAAAAAAAATCTTAAATACACGGTAGATACATGGTTATTACTTCTACGGTATTGTTTATGCGCAATTCGACGGAACATAATATTATGAACTAAACTCGGTTTAACTATAATATAACTAGGTATATATTAGTAAAACATTACTCAAACTCTAATCCGTACTCAGTGAAGTAGCTACCGACTGACGGATATTATTACTATTATTATTATTATTATTATTATTATCATCATTATCGTATGATTAAGTTAGGTTATTTCAGGTGGATATTGTTAAGCTCCCCGTAGGTACAGGTATAATTCAAACTATAATATTTACATGTTAACGTACCGACGATCGGAAATTACGCAGATAATTTCCAACAGATTATAATATTTAGAAGGTACCTACCAACTAAACCCATTTCGGTTCAAGAGCACGAACAGTCTAAAGATCAGCAATTTATAATACTCTTAGGGACTTCGAAGGGCAGTTAATAAATCACGTCCGGTTTTCATCGTCATAAAGGCGAAGTATTTGCAATGGATTTGATGAAGTCGTCAAACTATAATGCTATTGATATAGTTACCTGCCTAGTGCCTACTAAGAACTTAATAATGTCTGTAAAACAATGTTTGTTATGTATGCTGAGTAAGAATTATTATTGTGAAGTGGACCAGCGTGTTCTTCAAATCGTGGAGTTTCAAGTCGAGATTTTCAATCCAAAATAAGTTAATAGGTACATCTAATTGAATACCTCTCACATCTGGGAAAATTAACGAAAATCGGTTTCACCATTATTTTCGTATATCGTGTCAATTAATTTACACGATAGCGCTTTTAGATAGGAAACGTACCAGGGTGGTTTAATTGAATGCAGCCGATTATATCGTTGTGAATTAAATATTGATTTCATCATTGTACATAGGCATGGTCACGTTAAACTGTTGAGAAACACACGTGACTCGAGAATTCAATAATAGGTGGTTAAATGACGGCGTTAAAGTGTAACCCTTAAAATTAACTATGAATGTTATACCTTGTTACGAATTACATTAAATAGGTACCCATATAAATACATGTTTGCCCGTTATTTGTGTGCACGAGAGTCAGGAAGCGAATATAAATTTCAGAACATTAATTTATTACAACAAAGAAATGTAGAATCTATATAATATTTATAGCATATTATAATCTTTACCATCACAAGGAAATTATAATAAAACAATTTACTCGACCGGACCAACTTAATATCATTTTAAGGCATTTATATTTTGTAACAGTGGTTATTTATTATTGTTTGTGGAAAATCTTATGTCTGTTCACTTAATATTTACACTGTACTCTAATACTCCATAGTTGTACTTATTATTAATAATGCATTAAACTCGAGAAGAACGTATACAAACACCGTGTGTGCCGTCGAAAAAAGAACATTTAAAGTGTTTGAACAGTTTTGACATCGAGAGTATAGTTTATGATAATGTGTTACAAGTTTATGCACAAGTACTTTCTTCCGAGGGTAGGTCGATGGCAGCCGAATTTAATCAAACAAAGTTTACGATAAACTTGATAAACATTCTAGAGTAAAATTGGTGAGATAGTTGTTTTACATGCCTACGATATATTACTATAACGCCTCTATAACTCAACCATCGAGTAACTCTCAGCTGAATTAAAATTAAAGTATACACCCACACGCAAATACGTGTACACTAATACACTTAATACGAAACTTAAATATTACAAGAACCGCAACAGTCTTGTCGAAAATGTTCCTCGATAAATTATTAAGGTGTAAAATAATAAATTTATATCAAATATTTTGTCATAAGAATTATTGTATCGTACCATTCAATACGATTTGTACCTAACCAAATATAAGTATTTATAGGTTCGAATTTAAATTTAATAATTTTATTAGTAATAAGTAATAAGAATGTAGATATTAGGAGAAAACTAATAAATTTAACAATGTACGTGAGTACTTGGACATATCAGTGAGTCTTTGATAATATGTGTTACTAATACTCTTATAATATGTAATCTATTAATAAAATAATAAAACAATTTTAAAAGTATCTATTTTTAAATGTATTCAGTTAAAGTTTCAAAAAATATATAATATAGTATTTTAGAATATTTTCATACACAGTGACGACGACAGTGTTGTACTTGTAGAATTTAAGTAAGATTGACATTTAATTAACATTACTACCCAATAAAATGGTACATTTCAGAAGATACAAGAGATATTGCATAATAATATAATATTGTTTTTACATAATTTATACATGTTATAACAATTTAAATTTGAATTAGTAAAATCACTAAAATGTCGAGCATTTAAGAAATAAAATAAGTTCCTGAGGTAAGTAAATTAATAAATGTTAAGATTTTTTAAATGTTACTAACAACTGTGATTACAATTTATTATTAGTTTGAGTATCAGAGTAGTATATGGATTCTTATAATTTTAAATTTCAAAATAAATGTAAGAATATCTATTTCAATTCTAGACAAATGATTTCACGTACATTTAACGTCTTAAAAATATGCACACGTCACATCACTGAAAAGGGAAAGTTTCCACTATGTTATTGTGATAAACTAGGGTGTCGAAAGAAATACGTGGGAAAATGTTTTCAAGAAACTGGATGATTATAACTTGTGGTTGACTTAAATATACTCAAAACTCTTGCTTTAAAACAAAACTTTTTCGATTATTTCTAAAATAGCTTTCAGTATTGGGGAAATCTCATCAGTGAGTGAATTAAAACATGTTAAATGGTGTTAATTTATTATTATTTATGCCATTTTTCTTTTGAGAAAATCTCGTTTTGAAACGTTTGGGAGTTATTTACTGTCAATGTTTACTATAGACTTAATATTATACTATATTACTTACTTAATTGTTTTATAAAATACATATTTGAGCTGATAATTATTATTTAACGATTGTTCATTTTAAGAGAACAGTGGATATGAATCTGTTGGATGCGAACTGAATATATGCTGATAATCTGTTATTTAAACACTTTTGAAAACTTGTATCCTTTTGTTAAGCTTATAGCTATTGGATATTTCTTCAAGTTCTACTTAAAATTTAATATAATTTTCTCGAGACTTTGTATACTAAATCCACGCTAAATAACGAATATTAAAAGTTTCGAAAACTTGGATATTGGGACTTAAAAACTATGGTAAAATATATTTCAAGTCGTAGCACACCGCACGAGCTCCTCATAAAAATGATTATATAATATTGTTTAATATTTTAGCATAATAATTCCATTTTTAAAACTTTTACACACTCAACGAAAGGATGGTTGCATTTATATTCTACAAACTCTGTTTTAATCTGATGCCATGTACCTACTGGCAAAAAAGGTTAGCAAAAAACTGTAATTATTTATAGTATACATTCAGCTGAGCAAACATACACTCGTTTCAATTGATTATACCATATATATGTTGTTTTTTTTCATACAGAAGTAGAATTTTTGAATGCATTAATAGTGAAAAGATTTACAAAACGGTCATAAATAAAAGGACAAATTATGCGTAAGGGTGTACCTCACAAGCAGACCATTTCAGTATCTGTTCAAACAACGATGAATGCATATAAATAATATTGTTTTTTTCCCCCCACAAAATCGGAGGGGAATAACAATAATTATATATCCTGATTCAGGCGAAAATTTTACTATATGATATTATAAGAACATGTATTTGTTTTTGGATTTTTGGCACAAAAGTTTTTAATTTTTAAATTAAAAATATTTTCATGTTACTCAATTGCAATGTGGTCGGTTTTTTTTTGAGAAGCTCATCTTTGGCAAAAGC